GCTGCCTGAGGTGGGAGAAAGATGAGGCTTTCTACTCCCGTGAAATGGTACAGACTGGGAATCCGCAGGTGCTGGCAGGTCCTACAGGGTCACCACGAGGTGGAATGGACTGGATGGCGGGGAGTTTCGCTTGGGTTTTCTGTTTCTGGGAGACCTACAAATCGCCACCTGTTCCACACAGGCAGTCATCAGAATGACCTGATTAAGCAGGTCTGGGCGGGGCCCAGGAAGGTGTAGGTCTAGCTAGCTGGGGGTGAGGAGAGATCCTAATGGTGTCAGTCCAGGGGCCACCCGTGGAGAACCAGCGGGCAAGCAGCAGAGTGGGCGTCACCTGGAGGACTCGCCTGCGCTTAAGCCCCACCCACGCCAGCTCTTTGGCCTCGGCAACGTTCCTCCCTCTGGCAGTAAGCCCGGGCACTGGTAGAACAGCTTCTTCGCTTCACACTGCAGACAGACACCCTTCTTTCCGCCGCGGCTGCCACTGTGAATACCTTCGATTCACAGCACCTCTGATCTTCGTGGATCTCAATTAAGGGGGGAGGGGGCCGCGCTTGGGGAACAAGAAGGCCTTGCCAGTGTCTTCAGAGCCACGGCCCCCTCGGGCTCTGGAGCCTTACCCGAAGGTGATCGTGCTTCAGTCTGGAGAGGAACTCGAACTTGACGCACAGCTGCTCATTGGTGTCCAGCTGCAGGATGGACAGCTCTGCGCCTCGCAGGTAGAGGAAGCTGGCTGAGGGTCAGAGGGGGGGGGAGGAGACACGCGGAGATCAGCTAAGACAAACCGCTGGGGTCTGGCTCTGCCCTCTCCACCCTGCTTCTTCACATTTCTATGACTACTTGCCTAACTCCTTTCGCCTCAGCCCGTCGACTGCCTCGCTGCCAGCTCCTCCCCAGCGGAAGGACATGGGGTACTTGACACCGGGCTGGGAGGACAGCCTTTGCCTCTTTGGGGCTAGAAGGTTGGCAGTGTGGCATGGGAGTTAGAGACAGCCACCCCCGACTGTTTGCGAGGGGCTGCGGCTGTCAGTAATGACCATTCAGGCCGGGGAACGCACAGACAGTGCGAACCCATGCCCTGCTCACAATCTGGGGCTGGCTGAACTCCAAAGTCTTTCTGAATCTGTAGTGAGCCTCTCTACCACTCAAGCAGCTCGGGGGCTGTTGTTTGACGAGGTGCCAGTCATCAAGCTGAGGGAACAAGCAGGCTGGCACCAAGGGTCCCAACGCTGGGCAGTCTGAGGCCACCCAGTGGCGCCTTGGAAGAAAGGTTTCTTAAAAGTCACAGCCAAGGAAAAAACCATAGAGCATGGTCCTACTGTTCTAGGGGACAAAGGAGCCCCCAAATCTCACATATAACTCAGGGAGACTATGAAGTCTCGGAGAAGAGCAACCCAACATCTGGGTAAGGGGGGCTCTGAGCACAGGGACCATTCCGCGGGGATTAGCTGACCTCATGTGATGGGCAGCTCCGTGGGTACCCACTGAGGCTACTGGGGCTGGAATCATCACATTACAGACGCATAGAGGTTACTTACACTCTTGTTTCTCAGCAAGCGCATGCACTGCTTCAGAAGCATGCGTATGTGGACTTTGAGCTTGCACTTAATCATAATCCTTCATCTCGGTACAATTAGTTTTTATAACTTGACCTGACTAGATACTTGCCCCTGTGAGATGATCCCTGAAGATGTGGGTGCTATTAGCAATAGCGCGGTGAAGAACTATCAGATGCTGCCTACTGGCAGAAATGATAGTGTGGGGGGGGGTCTTAAAGGCATGTGTTTAAACAAGCAGTCATCTAAGTGAGGTGTCAGCAGAGAGAGAGCATGCTAGCCAGTGTGATCAAAGGATTGTTCATTTAAAACAATCCATGACCAGAGGAGGAGGATTCCATTAGAGCTTAAATCCTGAGTAAAGGCTAAAGAAAGACACACAACAGTGACTTCCTAAAATTCCCCTGCAGAGTCCCCACATGGATTAGCCTCCAGGGAATTCCTCTGACCATTCATCAGCAGTGCGAACAGTTTTGCCAATTAGACAGAGTGACATTAGAAAGTAACTAACCACCCAGCTACCCAGCCCAGGGGAAGCCGTTTCCTCACTGGCTTGCC